CCGGGCGCGCGAGGCCAGCCTCTAGGTTATCGGCTAACGAGCACTGTGAGTACACCAGATTTTATGAAACTGTAGCGATAAAGTTGCGTTCGGTCCTGCAAATTAATGCAACGAATACCGAATCTGGCCGCGGGGACGAACACGAGAATAAACGCGTCGGCGTCGCGGCGTACGAAGCCAGAGGGTGGAAAGTCGTTTGTATGCCGTTCCCAGGGGCAGCCGTGTTTTCGAAGAACGATTAAAACGAAGGATCGGAGAATTTACTGCGTCGTTGGTCGTGCACGCGATACCAAAGAACGCGGAGTTAAACCCCGCGTTTATAACGTTACGATAAATTGCGTAAACGACGCGTCGCGTGCGCCAAAAGCGGTCAGATTGCCGGAACGTGTCACGTTCCACTCGCGTTTTATCTTCTGTCCAATTGAATCGATCCATCTACCATATTTTCATCCGTTCTCACGTTCGTCTTACCGACACTTCAATTTTTTCTCCCTCCAACATTTATCGTCTTTATGCGGTAATTTTTGTACCGCGTCGAAGGTCAGACTTTATAAGGACACACGCCGCGCATGCACGGCTATTCAATCGCAATTACATACGAGCGACAACTATTTCCGTTCCTCGCTTTATCTTATTCTACGCGATACGATGAAATCTAATCGCGCTGTTGTTACTGTTACGCGTCTTCGTTCGAGGAAAGGCGAGAGCCGTTATAGACGGTACGTGTTGATTTAACAAAAAATCAGAATAAATGTAAGCCGCAAATACATATTGTTGATCGATCGATCAAACGCCCGACGCTTAATCTCCGTAAAAACAGCGTGAGACAGTCACGCACATTTGAATGGAGTTTGAGCAAAAAATTCTAATTATTAACGATGTTGCGCTTTAACTCGTGACACGGGTGAGCTTACAGGCGTCGATTCGCGAAAGTCGCGAGCACCTGCCCACGGCTGTACATTGCTTCCCGAGGTCGCAAATAACGCAGGATGGGAACGCATCGCGCCACTTATTCGCATTCCTCTCGTGGCACCGTCCACGTTTATTATGAGTGACGGTCGGAAGGATAGGTCGGAGCAACGTTTCTTTATCGCGTGATATCTTGCTCGCTCAAGCCGCCCATCGACCTTCCGTCGAGAGGAAGCGCGAGAATCTATCTCGACCTTCGATTCGAGAGCTTGTGTACGAACGGAATGTTTGCAAGATTTTTGCAAGATGTTTGCGAATATAGCTTGTGCAAAATATTTTGATCGATTTCTTTAAGGGTAGTTTTACTTTAATAGGTATCGGTGTACATAAATAAATTGATGCGAAATCGTTCAAGTGCGGGAAATTTGTATTGCGCGCAGTACAAAAGCGAAGTCATCGTATTTTAGGAAATAAACAAATGCATGTTTACGCATATTTTTTTTTACCTCGTTTTCACTGCCTTCTTGTTTGCCAAACTTTTTTTCTGCGATACGCACGTAGTTGTTTTTACAACCATCTTGCTGGCAAAAAAGAGAACCTTTTTTTACCGCTAAAAGAAAACATATTTTTCTTCGAGGTTGTGTCAAGGGCACGAATTATTTCCTCAGCGAAACCACTAGTTCTTCATCGCTGTAACGTCGTAAATAGTAGAAGAACGAGTTTAACCATAGATCGCGTGCGCGTCCTTCGTGCGCGGTCCTTTCTACGCGTTTACCTTGTGCTAATGATCCAATAAACTTTGAAATATCGTTTATTTACAAACAACTTACATAAGAATTGTTTGCATGCAAAAATAGAAGCACTGGATACGTTTCAAACGGCGATAACCGAACGCTGTTGTTCGAGATCCTACGATCGATATCGTTACCGCATCATTACCCGAGCTTTTTCCTAGCCAGCTATTGCTTCTGACAACAGGCAAGCCTACCCCTACTTTCGCCGTTCCCCTACAAAATATCCCTCGCATAAACTACAATTTTACGAGTGTTTGTTTCTCTTCGGTCGATAATTTGCCAAAGAACGTTGCTTTTTTTCAATGAGGTCCACGGGCAAAGAGCGTTTATCTACGCGTGAAAAAAGATTAGAGATGCCGCAACAGCGGCGTGGGCGAAAATTATTCTTTCGAAATCTCGTCTCCAACAGCTTTCCTCGTGCTAAGAATCGTTTAATAAACTCTTGTGAGAAAAACTCGGCTGAATCGTAATGCTTTCCAAGCATCGATTACATAAAAGTCAGTGGCGTCGTAACACGAGCGTCGACCAGTGAAAAAAGGGACGACAGAACGGAGCGACACATGACGCTTTTATTATCGCAGCCGATGCGTAGACGCGCAATACGGCCATAGGGATGAGCACGCGCCATCGCCGTAAGATAAACCATAATTGCGCGAATATAAATGCATGTCATTGTTAGCACATGATACGCGTTACTCGGCAGTAAATCGCGCGATATCTAATACCTGGCCGGAAAAACGCCTAATCTAGGAGCGCGTGCGTCGAGAATGTGTACACTAGGTGCACGTGAATCTACACCTGTTCGTCGTTTGGAAAACTGATATCTCGCCGATGGAGACATCGCAGGTTTCGAGTTTTATCTATCTTCTTGCCACTACTTCCTCTTACCTCTAGGGCAAAGAAACTCACACCACGTTCACGCAACTTTTTATCGTCTCTTTTCTCGATCGACTCCACTTTTTTTTTTTTTTTTTTACCAAACATTGAAAAATATAAAGCAGCGTCCTCGAAGCGCAATCTAACGAAAACACGTATAAGGAGAAGTAAAAAAAACGAAGCAATGCGTCGTTGCATGCAGAAGGAGTCACGATCACGCCGCGTGCACGCTATCGTCGATGTGCAGACAGGCTGAAGTGTCACGACCGATGGGAATAACAATGGCAACAACAACAACGAGGGCAAGTTGCTGGTGTGACGCGATCGGTCGAAAGTCCGGATTCCCCGACGGCCTGGTTTCCGGCGATGGGCAAAAGTCGGACGAATAACTGCGGAATTACTTTCCGCGAAGCGCGGGAATAGAATCGACGCCGATTATCGACGGCCAATATTTGATTTTCCTACGACCGGTTCGCGGAATCTCGCACGCTTTATCCCGTGTTCCGCGAACGGCTGTCATCGATGCTGATTAAACATCGTCTATCGTTAACGCACCTTGACAGTTTTCACGTTTTCGAGTACTTGGATATTTTTAAAGGAAATTCTTCGTAAAAATGGTCAACAAGTGTAGTTGAAGTAGAACTAATCGATACTTTTAGGCTGCCGTTTGAAATCTTATCTTTTGCACACGTATTGTGCAAGCTCGAGTGAAAGCGAAAAGAGATTTCAAGCAGTAAACTTCGATACCTCCCTGATTACGTCTATGCGTACATATTAGGAGTGATGAGAAACGCGGTACGTTTTAGAGAAAATACCAGCGATTTCTCACGCTTCTTCTGGCGAACTAATGACACATACGCTTCGGGCAACTATCTGTCATGCACGATACGTGCCAACGTGACGTATCCGCGAAAATGTGTCGAAATCTTTCGCGCTGATACCACCGACTCGCTTGCTCGCAAATTCCTCCTTTGTGCTTCGATCAAGACGAATCTGCTACAGAGATACTGATCGGCATAACATGCATATTATTCATCGATATATGTATTTAATTCGTGTAGAACGAAGGTAAACACGCGCTAATCATCAGTTCGGAGGAAAATTATATCGAGTAGATTGCTTGTGTCAATATCGCAATAATCCTCTGTAATATATCATAGGATATTATTTATTTTTGAACAACCGTTATTCCAGTTACCCCTTAGCTAGAACAAACTTTCCAAGAACAGAGGTCGCTTTTTCACGGCAATTCCGCCGGAGGAAGAAATTTTATTCGCGACGAAATCGACACGATGACAGTTATAAGTTGGTTTAAAAAAGCACATAAATCGTGCGAAGAACGCCGCGACAAAGAAAGATAACCCGCGCGAGAATTTGTTATGAGCATAGCTCTCTCGGGGTCGCGCGAAAAAAAAAAAACTCCCAACCATGAAAAGCCGTCGTAAAATCGGCGAGGAAAACGAAAATTTCGCGGTTTGACTGTTTATACGCTGGTTCGCTATAAAACTTCCGCGATGAAGG